GAGTTCAAACCCCAGTCCCACCAAAAAAAGTCATGGAGCTGGTGGAGTGGCTCAAGTGGTAGTGCGCTTGCCTAGCAAACATGAGGCCCTGTGTTAAAACCCTAGAACTACCAAAAAAGAGTCTTGATTTCTTTTTTTTAAAAAAGAAATAAATTTTTATTGTTTATAAATTAACCAGTCTTGGGCATTTTGTTATACAGTACACAAATGGACTAAGGTGAGGGGTACATCTGTTTGTTTGTTTTTGTAATTGAAATAAAATATACATAACACAAAGTTTATCATCTTTACAATTGTGAAATCTCCAGAAACTTCTCATCTTGCAAAAATGAAACTACACCATTAACAATTTCCCATTTCCTCCTCCCATATTCAGCCCCTAACAATTAGCATTCTGCTGTCTGTTTCTATGAATTCAATTTCTCCATATACCTCATATAAGTAGAATCATACAGTTTTTGTCATTTTGTCATTTGTGGTTTACATCACTTAGTATAATGTCAAAGGTTCATCCTTTTAATAGCTTGTGTCAGAATTTCCTTCCTTTTTAAAGGCTGAATAGTGTACTGTATGTATGTATTACATTTTGTTTGCCCAGTCATTCATCAATGGGCATTTGAGTTGCTTCCATCTTTCACCATGGTGGACAGTGTTGATCTGAGCATGGGGGTACAGGAGTATCCTTTTTAAATTGAATTTGAACTACTTAATGATAAAGGCTAGGCCTCGACCATCTCTAGAGCTATCAAAGTATCTGACATGTGAGGGGCACACAAGAAATACTTCTCTCAAGTAAATAAGATAGGACTCAGTTCCTAAGGTAAAGTGAAATACTAATCATCTTTGACACAAAGTTGCAAAATGCACAGTAGAAAATTCACACAGTGCAGCAGAGTCTTGATTTCTTAAAAGTCATGGATATTAATGTAGGTGAGAAGCCCATTATTATCTGAGAGAGCATATGACCTAACTCCATTTTAAATGCAAAGTATTTTTGTGCCACTTTAGGCCTTGGATTTCCCAGAAATGAGACTAATGTATACAGTGAAGGAACTTTATAATCTGTTTGGAATTTTATTGAGTTGTTTACTTTTTCAGAAATTCATGTCATCAATGACAACACTGCTCGAGGTATTTGAGTTACTGATACCTATGTCCTTATTAATTTACTTTTGCTGCTGCTGAATGTTCATGAAAGTACATGAAAATGATTCCATGTAAAGGTTTCAGGCTCTGGCTTCTACATTATATGCTTCCAGTAGAGTCATGCTTTAATACTGCATATTAAAATACTTATAATTTTATTACAAATTAGTCTTTTATTTCTACAATAATACAGAGTATCATATTTACTCTTTGAAATTAAATATATAGATTATATTACACATGAATTTCATTTCAAGATAGTAAAAGGGCACCAGTTCTGAGAGAGTAAGGAACTATTGCCCTAGGTGTTAGAAAGCCATGCCACAGGAGATAAAAGTAGAAGAAGAGCCAGTTCAAGGCCAGTCTGGCCTACACAGAGAGACCCTGTCTCAAAAACCTAAAGAAAACAAAGAAAAAGAAAGTCATGACAAGCAAAGCCTGAAGATTCAAGAAGACTGTCTATCTCCTGCTCCCAATCCTATTCTAAAGAGTCCCCCAAACCTCACTGCCAACTTCTAAGTCTCGGAGGCTGAACACCCATGATGCTACTGCAGGACAGATTGGGGGGGGAGGCGGCGAAGGGGAGGTCTGGGATCAGCTGGCACACAATGCCTAGAAGGGAAAGTCTTTTGTTTTGGTTTGGTTTTTGGTGTTTTGCATGCTGGAGATCAAACCCAGGGCCTTGTGCTTGTTAGGTAAGTTGTCTACTACTGAGCTCCATCTTCAGCCCAAGGGAAGGGCTTTGTAGCAAAAAAGGATAGTGTCCCCAGTTGTGATGGCATCTGAATTGTGAGGCAGTGATAGACTAAACCACTGGATGGTTAGTTAGGATTCACAAAATGCCTCATCCATAGCTGTGGTATTCCCCATAGCATTGTGTCTAAGCAAAGAATTTCTTTCACAGCAAAGGAAGTACAGGGTTGGCTCATACTTATGGAATTAAATGAACTTAACACATTCCCCATCACTTGGAAGCAGATGCCTATTTGATACTTGAACTGGTTTACTGAAAACCCACAGCAACAGATGGAAGACAATATCTGGAATGAATGGAGAACTATCTTATAAGATGCAGTACATGCTTTCTCTCTCTCTCTGGTGCTAGGGTTTGAACTCAGGGCCTCATGCTTGTCAGGCAGGTGCTCTACAGCTGGAGCCACTCCACCAGCAGCAATATGTGCTTTGGATGAGAGGCCATTAAAGAGTGTTCCTCTTTCACTGGTATACCTAATACCCACTCACAGAATTTTTGCTTCCCATTAGCCAGCTTTGCTGGTTTAGAGAACTGAGCCCCCAAAGGGAGATTTCTTCCACTGGTGAACACAACAGTGGTTTCGTTGACTTGGAAGATGGGATTGCCACCTGGTCATTTGGATCTCCATGTACCACTGAATAAAGAGGGAAAAAATGTTTTCTCCATTGGCTAGTGTGTTTGATCCTGATCATCTTGGAGAAATTGGGTTACTGTTACACAGCGGGGCTGAGGAAAGCTATTTCTGGAACCAAGGAGATTCTCTGGAGGTGTTACTTAGTACTTCTGTACCAAACAGTAAAGGTTAATAGAAAAATATAGCAAATAAAACATGGCAGAACAATTGAGAACTCTGACCTTGAGTCAGAAATGGAAGTTTGGATCATTCCATAAAGGTAAAAATCCTGACTGAGGTTCTGGCTGAGAGCAGAGAAATAAAAGTGGATAGTAGAAGTCCATAAATGTCAATTGTGGCTTTTTGACCAATTACAGAAATGAGCACTATAGTAAGTTGGCATGTTTTCTTTTTGCTTGTTATAGATGTGTTCAGTTATCTATGTTAACCATTTTATTCCTCTTTCTCTCCATCTTTATATTGTTATACAATTTGTTGGAAGCTAAATTCACAGTTTAGTCTTTAACAGAATATTTGGTGAGACTACCCCACCAAATAGTCAGAGATGGGTACAATGACTTTCGGCCTATTTAAGGAAATTTGAAAAGCTCTCTGTGTGTAATCTGATCATGCCTTCCCTTCTCCAACCTCACACATGAATTTTTGTCTAACAATTTCTTCAATTTTTGGGTGGTGGTAGTGGTGGCACTGAGGTTTGAAGTCAGGGGTTTATACTTGCTAGGCAGGCAATCTACCTCTTGAGCTACACCTCCATCCCTTTTTTCTCTGGTTATTTTTGAAGTATGGTCTCACTTTTTGCCCAGGTTGGCCTGGAACAGCTGTCTTCTGATTTCAGCCTCCTGGGTAGCTGGGATGACAGGTGTGAGCCACTGAAACCTGGCTTCTTAGATGTCTTAAAACAGGATAGCAAATTCGTATGTTCAGAGTAGTCAGGCAGGTAAGAAAATGAAAGGAGTGAAAGCTCCATCTAAGGGGGAAAACAATATTGAGTTCCAGATAATTGCAACCCAATGACAATTGTGACATTAATTTGAATATGCACACATTGTATAGGACAAACAAAAGATATCTTCCAGGTTGTTGAATCTCTGCTTTAAAGTCAATTCATGCATTTATCAAATAGGTAGTAGAAAAAACAGGATCATGTGTTTCAAGGGAGCCCAGAGATAAAATATTGCCAGAAAGAAGAAGTAATATTGAGTGCTTCTAATTCAATACTGATAATATTGAATACTGCAGGGAGGATGAGAAAGTGACCACTGAATTTGGCAACATGGACATCATGAATGCCCTTTGACAAGCACAGTTTTAGTGGAGTGATGGGGATAGAGGCATGGTTGGAGAGGGTTAAAGGGAGAATAGGAGGTATTAGAGAGATGCATTACACATGTTCAAGAAGTTTTGCTATCTAGCTAGGTGCTGGTGGCTCACACCTGAATCTTAGCTACTTGGGAAGCTGAGATCAGGAGGATTGTGGTTCAAGGCCAGCCCGGGGAAATAGTATTTGAAACCTTGAGAATAATATATTCTGCCATTAAAGAGGCTAAAGATTTTAACTAATTCCTGTGTAATTTCAAGATTTTCTGCCTTGCTTAAAGGCCTTTCCCATTTGGAGGTTAAACAAATATTCATATTTCTTTTCTTTTCTTTTTTTGGCAATACTAAGGTTTGGTCTCAGGGCTTCACACTTGCTACGCAGGTACTCTTACCACTTGAATCACTCTCCCAGTTCTTCTTTCTTTTTCTTTTTTTGACACTTATTGATTTTTACATTTAGAATTTATTTTTGTATATGGTATGAGATAAAAATGGAACATATGTTTTCCTAATATCTTATCAAGTATATTAATGATGTACCTAAATTGACATATCAACAAACTGGCTGAGAAGGCACTAATGTTATATCTAAAATAGTGTACCAACAAAACCAAGTTCTATGTGTACATATTTGTAGCGAGATGATTGAGATTTGTTTAGAAACTAGTTTACAAATTGTACTCCTTTATGCAAGAACTGGAAACTGACCCTCAGTATCTTAGTAGTATATCAACTTGTAGCTTACAAAGTTTTCTATACACAGGATCACATTTGATTCCCACAAAAACCCTGGACAGGATAATGCATCACAGTCTCTGTTATTTATAAATGCATAAACAAGTTTACCAAAGTTAAGTGATTATCCTGGATCACACAGTCAGTGAGTAGCTGGGATGTTTTAGAATTCAGTTTGTGGAAAAGAGGGATTCTGAATTTTCACTTATGTAAAAGCAGAGCCGGATGGTTAAGCAAACCATTCAAGATCATTGGATATTTGTTGAATATACGAATGTGTCTTGTGAGCCTAGAGTTCTTTTCACTATACTATATTAGCCTACACCATGAGACCATGAGAAGGAAGAAGCATGAGAAGTTGGAAATGGGATGGGAATTATTCCTGGGGAGAACTAGGAAATGCAAGATGGAGGCAGCAGCTTCTGGAAATGTCAGTGTTTATTAAACATTTAAGGACACTTGGAGACTTGAGAAGAAATATACAGAATGTAGAAAAATTCTAAGAATCACCTGTGGCTGGGAGTACAGTCTCTTTTCCTATTTCCCATTTCCCCCCCAGTTTTCTGCTTGATTGTTTAAAGCCATTTCTAAGGCTCACTTGCCCCCTCTGCCACCCCTGACCTATGAGGATCATTGTCTCTCTCTCTCTCTCCTTCGCCTAGGTCTTGAGTCCCAAAATAATGTTTTAACAAAGTCATGGGGCATTAATCCTGTAGGTGAGGTCTAAGGATTTAGGGGTCCCTCTGCTTGGGCTGGCTGGCTCTCCATTAAGGTCCTAATGGGGGTGGGGACTGCAAAGCCACATGACGTCATTGGTCCTCAGTCATGGGGGACAGGACAGAGTATGGGCACAGGTAAACAAACAAATGGATTAAAAAATAAAAAATAATCAACAACCTAAATAAACCCCAAAGGAGAGTGTGATGTGGGTGACATGGGTGTTAGCTGGAGGACAGAGAATTGAGCTGGGCCACCTGATGGAGGAAGGGGCAAGAAAGGAAAGAGCCAGGGGGTCAGGATAGGGAGCAGGAGATGAGAAGGCCAAATGGCCTGGAGTTGGGGTAGGGACTCTCAAGGTCCCTTTCTTCTCAGTGCCCAAGGGACAGGCACCAAACACACAGCCCTTGGGGGCAGGTGAGGGGTAGGATTAGTCCCTGGGCTCCCAGAAAGCCAAGGGGTGAGGTCAGGGAGAGTACAAGCGATTGGGAATGAATTTTGGAATGAAACTTACATCTCAACAGGAGGTGAGAGCAGGGCAGGGCTGGGGAGCAAGGGAGGCAAGCACCTAGACGGGGGCTAAGAGGAGCCTAGGTCCCCCTGCTCTGGCAGGGCCCGGAGGGGTGGTGATCACTTGTCTGAGTCCAGGCCCATCATGTTCTTGAGGGCGTTCTTGAGGCTGGTTCTGCTGGGGGACTTGACAGCAGGCCGAAGCTCCGAGCTCTGCTCATCCTTTCGAAGCTCCATCTCGATGACCACCACCTGAGCGCCTTTGGAGGCCTCCGTCGCCCCTGACCCCCGCACCCCCGCCCGGCCCGCTAACCGCTATTTCTTATCTTTTCGAGACTCCCCCAGTCCCTTCGACTTCTTCTCACTGGCAGCTTTGGTGCTTCTGCTGTGGTCCAGCATGGCGTACAGCACTGGCGTCTAGACAGAGGAGTGCACGCATCAGCCACCGGTCTGGTGGGGCTTGACTGTGCCCCCCACCCCCACTGCTGCCCTGCGGCTCCCAGGATTCTCCTCCCCAGTTTATCCAGACCCAAGCCCCGCTAACCTGCCGCCCACGCTTCGACGAGTCCTTCGCAGACTTGTGCAATTTCCCCTTTTCCATGGCACTGCAGGAAAACGGGGTGCTGTGGACTTGGTCTCGCTGGAACCCCTGGCCCAGCCGACACAGTTTCCACTTCTTTCCTTTGGCCCTCCCACCACGAAGTAGCTTCTACCCAGACTAGGGAGAGGGGAATGAGGGTGATCAGTCAGGCTCCGCCCCTTACCTGAGCCGCCTCTGCAGGGCCGCCTGTCTGCGTAGCCAGCAGTATCGAACCAGGTAGAAAAGTAGCAGCACCAACAGCACCACCCCGAGGACGCCTCCGATCACAGCTCCTAGTATCACCCCGTACCTAGTGGGCACTAGGAGGGAAGGGAAAAAAAGTGGGGGAATGAACAGGGACCTGAATCTGTGGTTCCTCACCCCACTCCTGTTCCTTAAGTATGGGGATGGAGGAGTTCTGGCCAAGGCTGTCTTCTCCCCATCCTCCCAACCTCCTCCCTCCCCCAGAGGCTGACCATCAATAGGCCATGCTTTTCCTCTCTTCCCTCAGACTATCAATCCTCCCTGATGCCTCCCAGACTCCCTGTCCCTTCTCACACCTTTTTCAAAGACATAGAGCGTGACCTGAGAGGTCTTGCCCACTATGTCTGGTGGGTTTTTGACATCACAAGTGAAAGTGCCGTTGTCACTGTAGTCTAGGTTGTGTATGACAATGGAGCCATCTTTCCAGCGAGGGTCTCCTACCCACTGGATGCGCTCTTTAAAGGTCCCCACCTCGTCAATGTAGGGTTGCCCCTTGGCATAGTGGAAGATCTATGAGGAATGAAGGGAAGCATGTGAGAGGACCCTAGTGTGAACAAAGCTGTCAAAACTTGACACCGGCCTCAGGGGAAGGAATCCTGGCTGGGGGAGGGTAGTGCTGTGGGAAGGAGGACAGTGCAGACAAGTCCTAGTCAGGATGAAAAAGGTTGCCACTTACCTTGCCAGGTTGGTGTTATGGCTCGTAAAGATTTAATTCTCCTTTCTGCTTTTTTTTTTTTTTTTAGTGGGGGAGGCGTGGGTAACTGGGGATTAAACTCAGGGACTTGCATTTGTGAGGCAGGCCCTCTACAACTTGAGTCACACTTTTAGTCCTTCTGTTTTTCTTTGAAGCATCTTTTCTGTTATCCAGCCCCAAGATCCCCTAGGCACTCACCGAAATGGCATCTCGGCCTCCTTCAGGCTGGTAGCGCCAGGTGAAAGAGATGTCATCTGAGACCCACTCACTGGACCAGAAGGAGCAGTGTAGGGTCACCCGGGAGCCCACAGCTCCATAGACCTCCCGGTCCGTGTAAACCACAATGGCCTGGGCTGGGGACAGCACTGCAAGCACAGAGGGGAAATCAGATAGAACATGTGACCCAGTAAGGGACATGAAGACATGAGATCAATATGCAGTCAAGGCTGAGTCACAGGTCAAAGGCCATAGCAAATAAACAATAAGTTCTGAGGCCTGGAGCTCTCTGTGCTAATTGAATTGGTGAGTGTAAATGCGGCTCTCAGCACGTCTGTACAACACATGAAATCAACCTCTCTTGAGGACTTCTAGAAGGTGGGTTGCCTTTTAGCTTGAGTCAGAATCTAACTCTCTTTTTGTTGGGGAGCGGATACTGGGGTTTGAACTCAGGGCCTTGCACTTACTAGGCAGGGGCTCTTGAGCCACACTGCTAGCCCCTTTATCTTTTTCTTGAGACAGGGTTTCACTGTGTAGCCCAGATTGGCCTCAAACTCACCTCCTCCTACCTCAGCCTCCAGAGTGTGGGAATTAGAGACACGCACATGACCCCACCCAGGCAATGTCTAATTCTTACGCTATCCTTTAGAGGCAGGGTTTTAAATGCCATAAATTATAAAGGTAGTATATATTGCATTGTTCTCCATAAATTATTTAAGCAATAGAGATGAAGTTAAAGTCTCCTTTGATACCTACCTCGACCAATTCCTTCTTTGTAGTGCATCCCAGGTAGAAGCACTATTATCAGTTTAATGTATATGCACTTCCTATGTATCAAACTCAACAAACTCAAGATATACCTGGACTTAAATCTTTTTTTCTGCAGCATTGGGGTTTGCTTAAGAAAAAACGAACCTGGGGAAACTTTCCATGTGAATTCTTAGACATCAATCCTACTTTTAACAGCTGTATAGTATTTCACAGTACAGCAAACTCAAAATTCATTCAGAAAAAAATGAAGATAACTAGAGAATGTAGCTCTTCTTCCTTGAAACAACTGTCCTTACTGCTGAATCCTGATTGGCACACTGCTTGTTCTTGACTGGGGAGTCAGGCAAGGAAGGACCTCATACCTCTTTCAAGGTGCAGAGCAAGATCCCAAGGCCAGAGCTCAGATGACTGCATGTGAACCTCTGTGATTCAACCATCCTCTCCCTCCTCTCAGCCATTCTGGCATAGTGCCACCCTCAAGGCTCACCCACACAGGGAAGGCCATTCCAGGGAGACTGTGTGGGTTGGCCCTAGATGGGGGCAACTGTAGACCCCTTTGTTTTACAAGAAGAGGAGGAGGCAACCAAACAAATAAAGTCCCATTGTCTGAGCAATGTTGGGGGCTCATGTCACCTCCACCCTCACCCTCATCATACTGAGTCTCCCATCTCAGCATGCAATATCATTTACTTACCTCCTGAGGCTTCATCCTTACAGCTTTCTTGGGAATCCCCAATGTAATAAGGGAGATTATTCATTGGCTCTGACTTCTATTCATCCTGTTATAATACCAACCATCGCCCTTCTCAGCTCTGCCCAATCGTTCTATGAGTGGGACAGATGTTGGGAAAGCACTGTCTTTCCCCCTTATAACCCACAATTCCTTCTCCTATTTCCCTTGTTATGCCTTTCTCCAACTTTCTATCTTGAACATTTTCTCAGGGTTCTGAGAAAAAGTCCAGGTTCAGGATTTACAACTCAAGTAGCTGATATCAGAAAGCCTTGGACTTTCTGACCTTTTCCCCTCCCCTGCTGCTTCTCATCCCTCATCCCTGCTTGCCTACTCCTCTACCTGTTGTATTAGGATTCAAGGCAATTTGGACAAGGGAAGGGTCCATTTAATTAATCTTGCTATAACCTTCTCTTGCTTGCCCAACATCTATCAGAGGCCAAGGAAGGGCTGGCCAATTTATGAAGCCCTTATGAAAGAAAGGATGGCCAATTTTAGAAGGACAAGATCCTAGGACTTACCCACATGACAGATGAGGAGCCAAAGAGAGAAACTGAAGCACCAGGAAAAAAAGAATCTGAGTAGCTGAAACCACAACCCTTGCACTCCCTCCTCAGACCACACTCCCTGACTCTTCTTTTCTGGGAAACTAAGGTTGGATACTTCTTGCACTACAAGGGGATGAGTGGGGACCCAAACCCACTGCTTGATCCTGCTCCTTCCCACACTCTAATCTTGCTTCCTACCAGGAAGCATGGCTCTGGGGGCATGGGACTGGTTTCTGACCTAGCATAGTCATGCCCACTCAGGGAAGCTCTCCACGATCTCTTTTACCATCTCCCTTCACAGGATACCTTTTCTGACTCCCTCCAAATGATTTTTTTCTCTAACTATAACATCACCTTCCTGCTCTTGTTCACTGGCTCTTTGCAGTGAGGAGTCTAATGTAGGCAGTGGGAGGTTCTGAGAGAACACCTGAGTCGCAGGGTTCCCAGACTGCGGTGGCTCCACTTACCCAAAGAAGAGAAGAGCAGAGCAGCCAGGATAGGGCTGGGGCTGGATGAGGGAGCCCCAGGAGCCATAGCTGGGGAAGGGGCTAGGGCCTGGAGCGCCTGCAGGGTGGAGAAAGTGGGGGACAAGGAACTGAGCGGGTGGTTCCTGGAACCTGCTTAAAATCCCCTAGGGCCCCAGCATGAGGGGGCTGTCCTGAGCTAGTAACCAATTGCAGCCTGGCATGTGCAGTTAAGAGGTGGTGGGGAAGGGGCCAGAGTGCAGGGAGCAGAAGAGGCATTGTATACTCTGGGTGGAGGGGTGGGGGAACACATACCACCCCTTACACAGAGGGCTTTGTGTCTACTAGCCTCCCCCTGCCCTAGGCTGGAATGTTGGGGGGGTGGTTAGGGAGAGGGGTAGAAAAAAAAAGGACACAGACACACTTCTTTGGGGGAAGATAAGCAGGGAAACCTAAATACAAAGGCCACAGAAAGGGATTCCTCCTTAGCTTCTTTGCTTGAGGTGGCTGTCTGAGGGCCCTAAGAGTTAGAGGCAGGTTCTCCGTAGAAGACTCCCCAAATAGAATATTTCTTGTTATCTTGATGACATGGGCTGCATTACAGACTTCATGAGATGACCCAGTCCTTTGGGAATCTTTTTTTTTTTAATCCATTTCCCTGCATCTTTGGACATAGAAACTTTTCTTCACTGGAAAATTTCCAGGGAAGAAGCCCCAAACCTTTCTCTCTTTGTTAAGAAATCCTTCAATACCTTGTGCTTCACTTTAAGTGCATTTTCACTTTAAAGCCAGGCAACAAAATTATGCTGCATGCTAGCTATATGTAAACTATGTCAATGCAGGTAACAGAAAAAAGAAGAAGAATTAAATTCCTCCTGCAAGTTCAAAATCTAGTTGGGGGAGGCTTATGTTGTGTGAAAGATTAAAAACAAAAAAATTTCATTTAATAAATGAACTTTATTAAATAAACTCAACCTGACTGCAAGGGGCAGTCAGTCAGGTTGAGGAGGCAATGTGAGATATGGCCCAGCCTGGAAGAATCAGTGCCATTTTGAAAAGAGGGAATGGGTAGGAAGCATGACCAGAGTAGCAAAAACAGAAACAAAGTGGTGAGAAAATGTGCTTATTTGCATGTGCTTGTGGTTGTCTGTGTGTGCACATACACACGTGCACACGTGTTAGGTAGGTTTGCAAGCTCTGGGCATAGTTAGGCACATCTTGTGCCATCTGATTTCGGGGAACTTGAAGGGATATTGTAGGAAACGAGTCTGAATAGAGAGGTTGAAACTAGTTTGTGAAGGACCTTTCATGGTAACTAATGAGGATGGGTTTAATCTGGTACATTGTAAGCATCTCTTGAAGATTTTCGGGTGAAGTCTGGGATGGGAATGTCTAGATGACCAGAGTTGAGGTTTTTGTTGTTGTTGTTGCGGGTATTGGGGTTTGAACTCAGGACCTCATGCTTGCTAGGCAGGCACTCTACCTCTTGAACCATTCTGCTAGCCCTGTTTTGTGTTGGGGATTTTTGAGATAGGGTCTCTCAAACTATTTGCCTGGGCTGGCTTCAAACCAAAATTCCCCCATCTCTGCTTCAGGAGTAGATAGGATAACAGGTGTGAGCCACCAATGCCCAGCTATTCTTTCTTTCTTGATCCTCCTAAGGTTATAAGTTTCTTCAGGACTCTATATGTATACTTCTATCTTTGAATCCCCTCTAGCACTTTTTACAGACTCTGGGAAAAAAGTCAATAGTATATATATATATATATATTAAACGAAATTATTTAAAGACTAAGTGAAAGAGACATTCATTGTATTCATTAACGTGAAACTCCAGAGGATCAAAGGAGGAACAATGGCCGGAAGAGCAATAGCAAAAACATTTTACTTCAACAAAGCTTTCTCATGATTAAGCTGTCTACTAAATGATTTTCTTTTGTGGGGGAGGTGGTGATATGGGCAGCTCTCGCATCCTCCTGCCTCACTCAGGCACCCCAGTGCTGGTAGTTTAGGCTTTTGTCACCATGACGGAGTGAAACTGATTTTTTTTGCGGTACCCATTGAATATGTTGGAGCTTTTTTTTTTTTTTGGTGGTACTGGAATTTGAACTCATGGCCTTAAGCGTGCTAGGTAGGCTCTCTACCACTTAAGCCATGCCTCCAGCCTCCTCCAGCCCCTTTTATTTTGGTCTAGCGCAGTCTTGAAGATCCAGGATTGCAGGAGAGGAGAGGAAGTTCCTCCTCTGGTAGAAGGTTGGATCAGAGAGCCTCTAAGGTTCTTTCCAATCCTAAAGTCTCTAAAAATGGTTTCGTTTTCAAGCCTTATAGAAATGCAAAGCAGCATTATTCATTTGATGCAGAAATAAGCGAATGTGTGCTATTTAAATCCTGAAAGGAAAAATGTAGAGATGCTAAATATAAACGAGATTGAATATTAATATAGCTGAACATGTTTTACTGCAGAATATAAATTGCTTTGGATTGTCCTCTTTCTTCCTCCTCACTCTCCCCCCGCCCCCCACAAAGGTCAAGAACTTTTGCATTCTATTTCATTCCTTCCTTATTTGCTCATTTTCTCTCTTCAGTCGCGAACGCTCTGCAATTGATTCCTGTATTTGGGTTCACTCAAAACTGTTTATATCTACAAATCAAAGAGGACTCTCCTCCACACCCCATGTTCCTCTGGTTGTGGGTGTCACCCACACAGCGCTGAAAGAACAAGGGAGTGTCTTTGACTAGTGGAAGTGTAGCAACTTCAATAGCTGAAGCCCAAGGCGGGCCTTAGGTGGCTAAAGGAGGAACCCTGACCTTGAAGATGGTGGTGCAAGGTCTTCTCGCGGCTCCGCCTCACTCCCTAAATTGGGTTTCAATTTGTGTTAGCTCCTTCCGGCTGAAGCTTTACATCAGAACCAGAAGCCCAAAGTATCTTTTTCTCTGGGTGTCTCAGCCAGCCAACCCCGACGATTTTAGGCCGGCCTGGGAGGAAAAGAGCGTGAAAAATCTGAACAAATCCTCTGTTTGGTAGAGCGGTACAAATTGAACACACATTGCAGGCTAAACTCAGACTGCAGATTTTAAGCTAGCGGCCTTTCTGCCGAAATCCTGGCAAATACCGGTAAAGTTCAGCGGAAGGAAAGATGGCAAGAAAACCGCCAACCAATAAAGAGAGCTAGGCAGAGCGGCTCCCGGAGCCTTTTAAAGGTCTCCGTGTTGTCACGTGACAACCCCCCCCAGTCCGCCCCCGCCCTCCGAAGGGGGTGCGTATACGTCACTTCCGTCCAGGCCGGAACCCAAGATGGCTGCGCTCCTGCTGAGGTGACTTTATTCTGGGGCTGTGACTCCGTCCCTGTGACCCTTGGGAGACTTGACCTGGCTCCTCATATCTTGCTAGCAGTGGTTTATGCTGTGCATGGGCAGGGAAAGGACCCGTGGGTGCGGAGGCCACTCGTTCTGGAGTCCTAGAGACCCTTCCCCACCCTCCCCCCTCAACCGTTTGGGTGAGGCTGGCTACGTAGGGCATCTAGGTCAGTTACAACGTACTGAGGAGTGGCGCGGTTCTCGTTCCTTCTTCTTCCCCCACTTCCAATACGTCTTCTTCAGATTGCTTTGTTGCCCCACCCAGAGTCGAGTTCCTAAAAATTGCCCTAACTGCGAAATCAGCTGACCATGGCCCTACTGTTACGAGGTCTTACTTAGGGATCGGTCCGGGGAGGGGGCAATAGTGGGAGACGGGAGAGAGGGTCTTGGTCTGTTTTGCCTTCTAATTCGTTCGAACACTACCTGCTGCTGGCAATGAGTGGGAACTGTCCAAGTCCCTTACAGACCCCTGGTAGAAGCTGCAGGAAGCCTGGATCTGTGCCAGGCCCGTAGCACTCAGGTTGGGTCTCTGCTGCTCCCTGTGGAATTCTTTTAAGTTTTTTTTTTTTTTTTTCTTTTTAACTTTGGGTTATGGGGTGAAGGAGTGGGTAAAAAGTGGGATAAAAGTGGGATACCCACCTTTTATCAAGATCAATTTACTGTCCAGCCTAGATTTTCTTTTATTTTAAACTCTACACTGTCTAGGTCTCATTCTCTAGGCCTAGGGACTGCCGGCACAAATCTCAGCACAGTTTTGTGCCAGCCCTATTTTTGGAAACTATTTGTTATGGAAAGTTAGCTTCAGTACTGTTGATTTCAATCCCTGATTTTACCCAAATACCTTTTCATTTCTCTTTCCATTTCAGTCATGCAGTATAAAAATAGACTTTGTTTAGTTTTTCTCTGTGACAAAATGATTCCACTTGGAGTTGAGATCGGTTATCTTAATCCTTCATTTTTTTTTCGCCTTTCATGTTCCTATGCATCTTTTTACTAAGAATACCAGACCAGTCTTTCCAGACCTACTTCCTTTATTCTAGATGATTTAATCATAATTGAATGTTTTTTGACATATTTTGGTAGCTGTTAGGGACTTTTGGATGAATTAATGTTTAGTTTCAAATGATCTTACTGGTTCCACACAGTTCGTTTTCAGAGTTTCAGGATTTGTGTTTAGAAGCCCATCTTCATCCTCAGGTTCCTCATTCATGGATTCAACCAAATTCTGATTGAAAATACTTGAAAGACAAGTTGCAGAAAGTTCCAAAAAGCAAAGCTTGAATATGCCACCCCCAAGCATTACACTGAGTCCACATGAATGAAGCGATGTGTAGGTGTACCCTGCTGTAGCCTCCCATCATTTCACGGATCCTCAGTCTCTCTCTAGCACGCATTGGTTAAGAATTGTTTGCTTCTCATTCCTTTTTCATACTGTGTAGTTAGGCCTATGATTGGTTGTATTTGGACTGCACTTCCTTGCACAATACAGCATGTATTTACATTATAAGCAATCTAGAGAATAGGCTATAACCACACTATTTCATAGAAATGATTTAATCATCCATGGATTTTGGTGTTTGTTGTGGGTCCTGGAATCAGTTCCCTGAGATAATACTCATTAAGTATATACTGACAGTATCATTTTGATTGCGTAACACTGTCCATACTAGGATTCACTGCCAAGAAATTTGCTTTTTTTAGTGTATATTAATTGTACAAAGGGGTTTCATAGTATTTCACACATGCATATATTGTACTTTGATCAGATTGATTCCCCTATTGCTCTTTCTTGACCGTGTTTGCCTTTTCCCCCCATTTTCAGACAGCTTTCAGTGGATTTCATTATGCTATCTTCATACATAGACACAATGTATTTTGCTATTATTCACTCCCATCTTCTTTCCCTTTTCCCACCTCATCTCCCAAACAGACCCACATTACATTCATGTGTGTGTGTGTATGTACATATATATGTATATGCGTGTTACATACGTATATATATTGTATCTATGTACATTTATGTGTATATATTTTATATTATGTCTAGATTCTGTATGAGATAAAACATGAGACCTGGGTCATTTGATTTTATATTTTGCTTAATATGATGATAGATTTATGCCAGGCACTGGTGGCTATCACCTGTAATCCTAACTACTTGGGAGGCTGAGATCAGGAGGATTGAGGTTTGAGGCCAGCCTAGGCAAATAGTTCTCAAGACCCCATCTTCAAAATAACCAGAGCAAAATGGACTGGAGGTGTGGCTCAAGTGGTAGAGTGCCTACTTTGGAAGCTTGAAGTTTTGAGTTCAAACCTCAGTTCCACCCAAAAAAAAAAAAAGTGCACTATTTTCTAGCTGTAACATTTTAAGTAAGCATCATTCTTGAGTAGAAAAAGAAAGTCTTTCATAATTCCTGGTTTCACATGAAAATCAAGGATAAATATCTTCTTTCGTCATATTTGGAATAAGGTTATGGAGTTTGTGCAACTCATTTCAGTAAGGACCTTGTGGAAAGCTTACATTGGTATTTGAGAAACAATAGCACTAGACAGAGAGCACGCCATAGATTCCAGCCCACATCTGCAAACTTGCTGGGTAGCTGAGTGACTGGGCCTAGCCTGGTGTAAGGAATGTGTGCCTTGCAACTTCAGAGACAATTCAGTGGATTTAAAAAGATGTGTTCCCACTTCTTTCTGAAAGCCTTGGTTATACAATGTCTATATTCACATCTCTGGAAAGAGGGAAGAACTGAAGTAAGAAGTGTTGGTTGGATTTTTCCCTTCAAATAGTGGGCCCTTCTGGTGTACTGCTTTTGGAACACGTATCTATTATGAGGGACATCATGAGCTTTTTTTAGAAGATTGTTGGGTCTTAATGACATTTTATATCCCCTTGGTGCCTTGCACCTAGTGTATATATAATAAACTTGTAGAATCAACATAGTTTTAATTTTTATGTCTAGAACTTCACCATGATCCCCTACTTAAGTGCTTTTGCAAAGATTTGATGTAATGATGTGACTAAAGGGTATGGTGTGGCTGGATGTTTTTCATAACATTGTAAACTTTGGATCAGTTAGATTTGCCTTAGATAAAATGCCTGCTCACATTTTGACTTGAAAAGCAGTTCTGGCACTAATGTATACATTTCAAAAATACAACTTTTAGGTAGAAGATGTAATGTTTCTTTTAAGTACCTTTTGGACTGGAGGTGTGGCTCAAGTGATAGAGTGCCTGCCCTTTGCAAGTGTGAAGCCCGAGTTCAAACCCCAGTCTCACCCAAAAGAAAAAAAAAAAAAAGTTAAGTACCTTTTCATGGGAGTGATAGAAAAAAATCTTTTCTTTTTTTTTATGAGATTTTTTTTGAGAGGGTTGAATTCAGGGCTTGAAACTTGCAAAGCAGACGCTCTACTGCTTGGGCCATACCTCCAGTCCATTTTGCTTGGGTTGTTTTGGAGATGGGGGTCTCATTAACTATTTGCCCAAGCTGGCCTTGAATGATGATCCTCCCATTATAGGAATGGTGAATAGGTGGCTTATTCCTAGGATTATAGGAATGAGCCACCATCACCTGGCTATGAGACTTTCTAACTTGAAGTTCATCTAGGTTGTCTGGAACTTGATAATAACTCCTGAAATGACCCTCCCTCCACAAATCCCTTATTCTTCAAAGTTTAATTTATCCATTTGTAGCAGGTTGCTGCTGTAACTAAGCTATATGCTTGTTGCCAATGTCTTACTCTGGTTTTTATTTGTTTTGTTTTTACCGTTCTGGTGGTTGAAACCAGAGCCTTACCCTTGCATCTTAGGCAAGCCCTCTACCGTACCACTGAGTTATACCCTCAGTCCTTTGTTATTTTAACCCGTCTTTTAATCATCATTTCCTATAAGATGTAGCTCATAAAAAAAGAAAAACTTTCTGTTGCATATTACCAACTTTGGTTATTTTTTTTAACCTTGTATTATTTGTGTTTTGTTAAAACTTTGTTTTGCATTTGTAGGAAGTATTTCTGATTATTTTCAAGTTACATGGAGTTGTAGCTTTTCAACCAGAAAACAGACTCTGATCATGTGATTGTTTTCATCATGGTTTATTTATGTTTTGGTGCTGGAGGTTAAAACCCAGGGTCCCATGTATGCTAAGAACAGGTATTACCTTGGAACTACACCCTCAGCTCTCATCATATTTTTAATTTAGCCCTCAAGCTTGAGGCTAATATTGTACAAACATAGAAAAGTTGATGACCTTTAAATGTGTATTGGTTCTTTTTTTTTTTTTTTGACAGTATTGGGATTTGAATTCAGGGTTTGGAGCTTGCCAGGCAGGTGTTTTAAGTGGGGTTTGAACTCAGGGCTTTGCACTTGCAAAGCAGGTGTTTTACTGGAGGTGCACACCTCCAGTCCCGTTTTGCTTTGGTTGTTTTGGAAACGGGATCTTGGGAACTGTTTGCTTGGGCTGACCTTGAACCTTGATCCTCCCAATCTCAGCATCCCAAATAGCTAGGATTATATGAATGAGCCACTGGAGCCAGATTTAGTATATTGGTTCTTGACTCTTTTTCTCTTGCAGACATGTTGGCCGGCATTGCCTCCGAGCCCATGTTAATCCTCAGCTGTGTATCAGAAAGTAAGTTTCTAAATTTGTAGAGATTATTATTAATTAAATTTTTCCCCCTTAGGGAAAAGCAGTAGTTTGTTGCTTTTGATTTGGAGAATATGTATGAAAGCAGGAAGTAGTAGACAGTTGGCTGAAAATTTAGTAATTGTGGTTACTATGTTTCTGATTTTTTTCTCTTATTTTTTAAAAAAATATTTTATTAATTTTCCTAGTCATTTATTTATTTATTGGTGCTGGGGTTTGAACTCAGGGCCTTGTACTTGTTTTCTTTCTTTTTTTTTTGTGATGTTGGGAATGGAACCCAGGGCATTGTACTTGATTGTACTACTGAGTTAACTCCCCAGCTTCCACTGTTTTTTTTTGTGGGGTATTGGGATTTAAACTCAGGACTCCACACTTGCTAGGCAGACACTACTTGAGCCATGCCTCTAGCCCCTACTATTTTTGTACGTGGGAGCAGAAGAAGGGAGAGTATTTCTTTGGTCTTCTTTTAATTTTCCTTATTTTCAGCTTTATTATTATTTTTAACTTCATTGATTGCTTTCTTGATATTTAACTCTCTTCTTTCTGTTTTGTCTTTTTTCCTCTTAATGCTTTTCTTTCTTATAATCTTTAGTTTTAGGTATTTTCAAATCCCAGTACTCCCCCTCCAAAAATAAAATTGGGCATTTAGAAAAATAATATTTTCCTAACTTAGTTGGGTTTGTGCAGCTCACTTTACTTTTTTTTTTATTTAGCTTTTTGTTATGTAAAATATTAAACTAAGCTTGCTTCCAGTACTTTTTTTCACCTTCTGGTTTTGTTTCAGTGCTGTTCCTATGGGAACTACAGCTAAGGAAGAAATGGAGCGGTTCTGGAATAAGAACTTGGGTTCACAGCGTCCTCTATCTCCACATCTCACTATTTATCGGTAAGGGCTGTCGTGCCAGAAAATGTAGAGGTAGTGGGTAAAAGTTCTGGAGGTTGGTTCTCAGCCTTCCTGGTACTTCCTCAAGTGGAGGGAAATATTTTCTCAGTCGACATAAAGCTATGTAGATGAAGTGAACCCTTCAGAGTAGGGAGAGAGGACATAAAGGTCATGTCAGGCCTTTGGTACTGGGGTTTGAACTCGGTCTCATACTTGCTAGGCAGGCACTCACTATCACTTGAGCCTCTTCACCAGCACTATTTTTGTGTTAGCTATTTTTGAGGTAAGGACTCTAAAAATTATTTTCCTGGGGCTGGCCTCGAACTGCAGTCCTCCTGATCTCTATCACCTCAGTAGCTAGGATTACAGGCTTGAGCTGGTGCCTTGCTGGATTTTGGTATTTGAGGGAGCCTCATAGAGGCTCCTGGGCCTCCTGGGCTAGGAGTGTAGCTCAGTGGTAGAGCACTTGCTAGCATGTGTGAGTCCCTGGGTTCAATCCCCAGTACTGCAAAACAAGACAAAACTCAACAGCGTAAATGTATTACTTTACAGTTCTGTAGTCAGAACTCTTTTGGGGAGGGTAGAGGGAGTAGTAGTGGGTTTGAACTTAGGGCCTCATGCTTGCTAGGCAGGCATTCTACCATGTGAGCCATTCCACCAACTCTTTTTTGAATTAGGTATTTTGAAAATAAGGTCTCTAGAACCACTTGCCTGGCCTGACTTTGAACCTAAATCTTCTAGACCTCTGCCTCCTAAGAAGTTTGCAGTATTGGGTATTGACCACAGAGCCTTGCACTTACTAGGCAAGCGCTCCTACCACTTAAACCAGGCTCTTCTAGATTTATTTATTTCTATGATAAAGCTTGCTTTCTTGGTATGAACTGAGTGATTCCTATTTTGTCCAAAGGGTTATACTCTTGTTACTCACACTATTTATTGTGATGTTCAGATTGTCCCAGATTTGGCAGGTGAGAATTCTTCAAGATGGCTCCTGTGAAATCAGTATCTGGGTGTAAGATGTGCTCACTGCTACCAATACATTATTGCTTCTAGACCTTCTTAGTGGATAGAGCTAAGATACATGTTTTTGGTCACCCCCCCCCACACACACATAACATGTATGTAGGAATGTAACTATATACATATATATACATACCTCTGTTTATCTTTAATCTTTAGAAGTGGCATTGCCAGCTGGTTTTGCTACTGTCTAAGAAAAGTTCCTGTAGATCTTTTTTTTTTTTTTTTTCCTTAAAAAAAAAAAAAGCTAACCCAGCAAAGCATCTTGAGCCCTACTATCCTCTTTGTTTGGGTTCCTGCCAGGGAAGCTGGCCATTTTTTAACCACCTCCACAAATACCACAACCCTTCGGGTTTTTTCCAACCCAGATTCCAGGAATAATTCTGATCGCAGAAATTGGACATTGTACTAAACACGAAGGAGGCTAATAAATGATCTAAATTTTTAGTGCTTTATGGGGAAGCTTCATTTAAAGAGATAAATATATCAGGGGAGGAGTATAATGATGGGGAGCTTCTCAATCTATATTTAAAGCCCTAGTCTTTTTTCACAAGTCATGAAAAAGATGACAGTAGACTGTTGAGGTGAGTCTTTCACTATCTCATTTGCTCTTGCAGTTATGGAACTCCAGACATGTTTTTGAGAAAGAAACAAAACGGCAGGAAACATGGGTCTGTTTCCAGGATGACACATCCTGGAGATATCTGCAATATTAAGTCAGACTTTCTGTTACTAACTTTTAGAGCTTTTTGGAAGATGTATGGAAATAAATGATTAATGACGTTTAGCATATTTTCATGTACTTATATGTGTGTCTTTGGAGAAATGGCTTTTAGTTTCTTGACGGTATTGTTTGCAGCACAATTGTTAGATCACTTGCAGAAATTTGTGTATCTATGTCTTTAGCAATCTTTTAATATTCCATTAACAAAATCATAAAAGGAAATAAAATTAATACAAGTCATGTCAGTAGATTTTTTTTTTTCTAATGGCACCCAGTATTCTTGCTACTCTTTTAGGAGGTGGATATGCAAAGATAAGTAAGATATAACCTTTGTTCCAAAGGATCTCAGTCTTTGCTGAAAAATGAAATTTCCTCAGGGAAATCATACTGGCTCATAGTGGTCAGCTTTTATGTAAGTAAAATTAAATCAGTCTTGATTTCCTGTACCAGACTCTTACCCTAATGCTTGAACAGGGAATAAATACTGCAGATGGTTTATTTCTCTCTGTGATATCTTGGGCCTCAGTGTTTGCTTATGTCTTGGGTTAGTTGTGGCTGTTGCGGGGAGGGAGCACTTATTTTCTCCATATGGGCCTTTCCACATAAACTCTGCCTAGATAATTTTGACCTTCTTTACAACATGAGTAAGGAAGGGAAATTTGGAAGTCATGCAACCAACTTTGCTGCATTATAATTCTTTTTTTTTTTTGTGGTACTGGGATTTGAACTCAGTGCCTATATCTTGAGCCATTCCACCAGCTCTTTTTTGTAATAGGTTTTTCTGAGATAGGGTCTTATGAACTATTTGCCCAGGCTAGCTTTGAACCAAGAGCCTCCTGATCTCTGCCTCCTGAGTAGCTAGGATTACTGGCATGGGCCACCAGCACCTGACATGCATTATAATTTTTGAAGCAGTCAAGTCATGAAGAATTGCCCTGGTTCAAGGGAAGGGACTTAATTACTTGGCTGGTAAGAAATGACAAGATTACAAGAATTTGGACATTTGTGTGGTACTGGAAATCGTGATTATTTTTGAAAAATAAATGTTTTTTGCTGGGTGTGGTGGTGCACATCTGTAATCCCAGCTACCCTGGAAGCAGAGGCAAGAAGATCAAGAGTTTGAGGCCAGCCTGGGCAAACGTAGTGATGAGAACCTGTCTCAAAAAGCTGGGTGCAGTGGCATGCCTGTCATCCTAGCTATGCAGGAAGCAAAAATGGATCACAGTCCAGGCCAGTCTAGGCATAAAGTCAACTCTATTCCAAAAATAATGAAAGCAAAAAGAGCTAGTGGCATGGCTCAAGTGATGGCTCATGCACAAGGCCCTTGGTTTAATCCCCAGTACTGGGGCAGGGGGGGTGGGGGGAGAGAATCCTTAACCTATTCAGTACTAGGATAACCAGGCTATGATTTTAATCACTTTTTAAAATTGGGGGTAACATTTTAATTCAGCTCTTTCAGTCATGGGATTTAAGTGCATTCAGAATGCTAAATCATGTCTTAAAATTTTCTCATTTCTTCAGAGTGTCATTTCTTTCAAGCCAATATTGGTTCTATTTCAGTCTGGTAGTCATTCTCTTTGGCAAAATACTTGAGCAGTCTGTTTCACACTTTGTCATCAATTAACGTAAAATTGTCCATCCCAGTTAGGAGGGTTGCTTTCTCTGCGCATCACTTTAAAAGCCCCCTTTTGTTGTCCTTGACATTTTTGCGAGCTGCAGCTCATTCTGGGTTTCAGTCTTCTGATTCTTCTTACCAAATCATTGTTCCCTGTTTGTCCTGGTTATGTGGCTGTTTTTCCACGTTTTATATTTATTTTTTTCTGTTAAATCTGCATTAATCAGTGGTTTCTAGCCAGTGTTTTTTGTTTTGTTTGAACATTATTCCTTTCTTACTGTGACCATTGTCATTTTATAGGTAATTTCTTTCTGAGATCTTTTCAACTATAAATTGTTTCTCATTAGAGTGTTGAATATGTGATCTAATTATGCTCAATATTCCTTGTCTAAGCTGATATTCCAAATGAACGTTAACTTTCTCCAAAGACTCCTTTCTGTTTTACCAACATGTTCTGCTTGAGCATGAGAACTAGGTCTAGAATAAAATAATGTTGGTTGTCTTCTATGGAAATGCTTCGACAAGTTAATGATTCACGATTTAAAAAGGGATTTGATGAGAGCTGGGTGCTGGTGGCTCACTTCTTTAGTCCTAGCTAATTGGGAGGCTGATATGAGGAGGATCAAAGTTCAAGGCCAGCCCAGGCCAAATAGTTTTTGACACCCCATTTCTTTTTTTTTTTTTTGGCTTTTTTTTTTTTTT